CCATCACATCAGTCATCACTTCAGTTATCAGCACCTTGCTCCGGTTTTTCTCCGACTATATAGCATTGCAGTGCAGAACACCTTGGCTGCTGTGCCTTTTTTTCCCAAGTCATAACCGTAAAAGGATTACATTGTATGAACACCGCTCTCTCCTTCTGTTGTATCACCATTTCTAACAAAAAAAAAAAATAGTGGGAAAAAAGAAATTAAATCCTTAGAGGCATTGATTCCCCTGCCTTTGCTTTCATTTTATCTCCTACTATACACTTTAAGATGTTTCAAAGTTTTTGAGTGGCAGGGGTAGACTATATAGGTGCTAGAGGGAATAGACTTTTTGATTGATAATTGATATGAACTGAATGGATGGAGTGCTGCAGTGGCAATATAAACCTACTGTACTGTTGGCCAACACAGAACAGGACCTGTGAGCTTCCTGCCAATCTCAGCTGCTTAGAAAACGGTTGAGCTGTGGTTTTCTGTGGGTCAGAGGCATCTGTTCTGTGACTGAATAATAAACAGCTAGCCATGGTTAAAAGGTGTTCTGGGCCACATCTAAGACCAGCATATCTTAGTTGTGTCCCTACCCTGCTTGTTTAAACCCTTTGAATAAGTCTATATGGATTAGTAGTCACTTATCATTATGCTGTAATTTCTTTTAACTCCATCTTTAGACCTCTTGTGCTTATAAGGTGTATCGTAGCAAGAGACTACACACAAAACACAATTTTATGATTTTATTAGCAGTAGTTTTTGTATATTGTTTTTTTTCCATAATAATAGTATTTTACTATTAATACTACCCTATTTCCTAGCGTTTGCTCTAGCATCCAAATACTGTTACTGTCAGTGAACAAGTTTGCAAAAAAATGTGAGGAAAATAATACGTTATAGGGGTATAAACATTAGTCATTATTCACACAAGCCTGCCATACAGAAGAGGGACTCCACTGCAGAGACTGGGAGGTTATCCAAAAGTGCAGGAACTTTAGGGGTTTGTTGTGCGTAGTCGTTACGTGTAAAAAGAGCCATCGGTTCCTCATTTTTCATTGGACTTGACTGATCTGCGCAGGTCTTGAAACCAAAGTGGCAGAATAATAATGCCCTCTTGCAATAAAGCATATATATTAAATCAAAGTTGGGTAACAACAGCAGATTTTGTCCTTGAGCGTTTACACATTTACATAGAGTAACTATTCTCCAAGCAGGAGTTTGTCTGCTACCTTACACAACATTCATCCGCAACCATATCAGCCCCCACACACTCTATGCTTCTACCCCCTGCTGCTCAGAAATATAATGGCCTTTTATTGATTCTCCCTTCTCTCGCCTTCTTTCTTCTCTTTTCTTGCCCTGCTCTCTGCACTGCAATGAGAGGTTGTTAAGATAAGCTGCAGCATGAGAAGGGGAGAGACATGCCTCTTTTTCTTTCTTTTTTTTGAGCTGGGCAAAAAAAGTAGGGTGTCTTTGTGCTTGCAAGTGTGTGTCTAAGTTAATATGTTTACATATCTATACTGATATGTGGGTTGCTATGCAATATATGTAGCACTTTTATATGCATGCGGAGGTGTCTGCGTTTAGCTGTTTACGTGTATGTGTGCGCATTAATCTATAATATAGTCATTTTCAGTCATAAATGCTTATCTGCTGGTGTGTACAAGTACGCCTTGTCAATGAGGAATACACACCAGACCCTCTCATCCACAGGGGGGATATTGAACAGCCAGGCGGTGGCTGATGAGACGTAGGTGGGTTTTACAGATGAAGACGCTGACTTTGCTACCTCGTGCATCATTAATGCTCTCTTATTAAATTTCACTGTTTTTTGTCATTATGTGGATTACATTTGATCTTGTTCACTACTCGGTTCTTTATGAGGATGGACAGTCTCCCCAATACATGCTGAAGATCATTAAGACCTCTTTTTTATCATGCTGTTCCAGTTGTAATGGCTCACTAAGCAAAAAAAAAAAGGTACTTCCCATTACATGTGGAAGTAGTGATCACACAGAGAAGACTTTTTATAGGTGCTTATTATCATCAGCACCATACAGTTAGCAGCAGATATATTCATCATTCACTGAGGAACACGGACTAGAGTTTATATGGATGTCTCACTTGTTGAGTGTTGGCTTTACTGGAATGCTGGAGATTTAAATATGCTTGAATATCATTTGAATCTGTGAGAAACGAGCCTCACTTTCAAATCCATTTCAGGAAATGAATTGTGCGCTGTATATCCCATGCTTTACCATCAATATACTACAAATGATCTGAAACTCAAACAAGGCAGACTTGCAAGTTTGTTTGTCTTTGTGAAACTTGAAACGTACAAGAGGCTTAACAATTGTGCTTGTAAAGGATAGCACTAAATTGCTCACTTACAGGAATTTGCCCTCTGTTCATTCTAACTTTCGGGTTTGTTTCCCTTGTGGCAGGCCAAACACATCCCTTGAGAAAGATCTATCAGCCAAGCAAGAAATATTGAAACAGAACAGCATGGAATCACCACCACACATTTCACCAAGGTTAAAAAGCAGTTTCTCTGTGTGTATGTCTGCAGATACGGGGGATAGTTAATGACAAAGAAAAACAAAAAGGCAACCGTTTTAATGAACATTCACAGGGTCTTAGTAGTCTTATTTAAACTGTGCAGTGATGAGAATGATCTACTGTTATAGCAACTCTTCTATACGACGAACACACTGAGAGCTAAAGGATTACCAGGCATTGTCTTAATTGATCTCATTATCTTCTTCCTGCTCTTCTGTAAAGGCTGTCATTCTCAAGTGAATCTAGCTATAGCTTTGGAATGACTGCCATTTGGTGTGAAGCATTATTGTCATTGTTTTGTATTTTTTCTTTTAATTAAGATTGGTTCTGGGGTATAATGGTGAATAGCTGGGAAGACTCGAATAACTGTCATACTGTGACCTCACTGCAATGTAAACCAGTAGAGGGAACAATATCAGGCATCTGTTTACTGATCTGAAGAATTACCACTGTATATGTGATGTAAAGCCCTACGTGGTTCAAGAGGGGGCTGTTCAAAATCGATTTAAACTAATAAGTGATGTCTCTCGGGGCGGTATCGGCTGGGCTAAAGAGTAGACATTCAAATTAAAAAAAATCAAGGGGAGAATTAGAAGTGAGCTTACAACATTTCTGTAGCCCAGAGCTGTGTTAGCTGCTTCTAATCTTCGATTGAACCATCACACCCATCACTGAATATTGTATTGTGGGGATGTAGGTATCAGACTTTAAGAAGGTAGGGAAAAAATGCACAGAATAAAGATTTATATGTATTTTCTTACATAGAAGTGTTGCATTTTTGATCGTTCAGAGATTTGAGAATCTTGTAATCATTCGAGTTATTTAAAAAATGCCACACTTAGTTATTTCAGGATTGTTAAATGTGAAGACTTGCTGCTTCATACATTCTATGCAATGTAAACAAAATGAAAAAAGCATGCTTATTGACTGATGCAAAAGTCCATTTAAAAAATCGTTACTATTTGCTGTCAAAGATCTTTAAGCGAACAGTCACACAGCCTCACTTGTGCTTTGCAGGATCTCTGTAGCAGTAAATAGCACTTCTCACAGCTGCTGCTCATCCTTACTGTATGATGGGCTACTTGAACGCTGAGGTAAAAAACCTTTTGCAATAACTACAGTCTATAGTTGCGTGAGATTTGACCTTCGGATAATAAATGGCATTTGAAACTAGGTTCACAGTATATAGAAGACACATTAGGGATATCACTATAAATATAAAACGTATATTTTTTTTCTACAATACATGTTTTTAATGTATGCAAACATACATGAAGTGTTGTTTGGTCTAGCTAGAAAACAAAAGACTGAGCACTAAAGCCTTTTGCCTAAATATTATGACCCCCAACCCCGACCCCACAGGCCAAAAGCTTGCCTATACACAGTGGGCGTTTCTAATAACCCTTGCCCTGCCACCACTGAAGGTGTCAGTAGAAAGTAACAATCAAATGTCGTCAGATCATCGGTTTCATGCTGGTTCAGTATCCCAAAGTGATATTATCATAGACTCGATTATTAAATATGGATGTAACTGCTGTTGGTTTTTAGAGACATTTTTTGAAGTCTTGGCTGCATTATTGCATTGTTTCCATTGGCATCTGTAACCAGAAGTGACAAGAGGATGGAGTGCCAGAAGTTATCAGATACAGTAATGCTATAGCAAAATTGGTTAGTAAATTGTATCCATGGACTTGAGGGGTGTTTCCCATGGAGACGGAGACCTGAGGGGGTATATTATGAAGAACGTTCACTAGTGTTTCTTTGCATTAGCTAGCTAGACAAAATGTGAAACCCCAGTCAGAGTTGACGAGTATCATGATGGTGGTTATCAGCATTCTCTGTTAAACCAGGCTTTCTGCATTAGGCTCGCTGCATGCTTCCATTGAGGATCACCTACTCCAATCAGAGACATCATCACACTGATGAATAATAAAGATCTATGAACATTATAAAGATATATAGTGAGCAGTAAAATGCAAAACTGGTGCTGAAAATAAGACAAAAAAGTAATGCTGCAGATGATCATTAATCTTCTGATTCCACAATCATTAGAAACACGCTGAGCAGGAAGAAAAAAAAAACATTATTGACTTGTGTTTATTTTACCACTCTGTGCACACTCGCTGCTGCTGTTTTTTTTCCTAACAGGAAAGCTGCACAATAGAGCTCCGAAAATTATGATACATTTAAGGATTAAATGTTAGTCGGTGGAAAGGAGATGTGGAAATCCCTTTAGTTTATCAATGCAAAATTAATTTTCATGATTGAAAATTACTGGTGTTAAAAAATCTACTAATCATTTTTCTAATCAGAGCTCCAACAGCTGCAGTTTATGTAGTTTATACATCTATAATATGCATTCCAGAAAATCCCTGATCATCCAGCCTCCTTTAAACCAAAATACTAAACACCGTCTGCTGAGAGCCAGTTTGAGTTGAGCACATATTACCATGGTGATTATCAAGGTAAAAAAAGTGACACTTTTGTGAAAACTCCGACCTTAAGCTCAACAGTCCTGGCTAACCTAATCTCCATTCATAGTACACCTCTCTGCTGATTCGTACAAAATAAAAATTAAAAATTAAAAAAACACCAAAAGTGAAGCACAGACGTTTTGGTCCAGCTTTCATTATAATGAAGACACAGCACAAGCCTTGTTATTTGTCAGATATTATATTGTCAGATAATAATAAGGCTTGCTGGCACCAATGCACCAACACCACAAACACTATCAACACACTGTCACCAGTTAGCTGAGGTGAAGGCTAGCAGATTTAGAGTGGCCTTATCAACACCCACCTATCCCTCAAAACAGCCACACGCCAAAAGGGCTCAAGCGAAGTAAATTAAATCCTTAGTAAAATATAAACAGATGAGTTATAAAAAAACAAACAAACAAACAAAAAAATCATCTGTTAATGTCAAGGGGGAAATCAACTCAAGCAATGAAAATTATTTGGTGGCAGGTTGTAAAAGCATATTTTAGCTGTATTTTAACATTGGAATCTACAGGGACTGATCTGCTTTCAGAGCCAGCCTCGAGTGGCCTTTCAAGAACATACATGTTTTTCTTTCATGTTGGCTTGATTTTTTTTTTTTTTTACCCCTGGAGATTGCTCTTTTTCTCTCTCTTTTGCTCTCTTGCTGCTTCATCATCAACTTTCAGCCCATCAGCTGCTTTATCTAGTAGAAAATCAGCCAATGGATTCTTAACTAGGTGTAAAGCAGGATTGAGGCAGCAGCAAAAAAGTTTATAATAATAGTAATATTAAGAATATGTGTGTGTTTCTTTCTTTTTCACCTTACAGGACACTGAAATTCTCAACACGGCTGTGCTCACTGGGCGTACTGTCGCTGTTCCGCTGAAGGTCGTCACTGTAGGGACGGATGGTGCGGTCTCTGATGTTACAGAGTCAGTGGAGTGCAAGTCAACGGATGAACAGGTTATCAAGGTTCGTGCAACATGAATTCTTTTTTTTTTCCACTTTATCTCATCCTTAATGCTCAGCTTTCTAGTGGCATGCAGGTACGTTAACAGGAAGAATAACACTTCTGTTTGTGGGCTTCAAGAGTTTTTCGCACAGTGAAATGAAAATGAAGGTGCTCGTTTTCTTCTAGCAAAACATCAAAACATGTACCAAGATACATTTGTTTAATGGCAAGGGAAAAATAGAAAGTTGATTGAAAAAGTTAGATTTTAAAACAGAAACCCTAGAAAGGAGGGGGGGAGTTGGTTTATCCTTTTCTCGTGCTCCAATTCACCACCATGAAGTGCAGCTTGGCAGCTTTTTTGTGTAATCTTGGTGAGAAACAGACGGAAAAAAAAACACTGATTACATACTCTATACTCGGCTCTTGTTTTAAAGGAGGAATAATTAACAATCATCATGCTGAAAGAGAGTCTGTATCCATACCACTTATATATTACATAACACCATCAAACTGTCAAGGTTACAAACTGCTCACCATGACTAAATATAGCAAGTTTTAAATCTCTGTAAGTTGATTTTCATTGGCTTTTAGAGGGCTTACATAATTAATCTGAAACCTTACTGAATTTTTGGGAAGTGCTGCAAAGGATTTATTGTTAACATAAAATAAGGAAATAATTGTGAGCTGTTTACCACCACAGCAGATTTATTATCCGTCTCTGTGGCGTTATGTGAAAGGAGAAGCAAGAAAAATATAACTGGGGAAAAATAAGAAAAATAAAAGTGTTTATTCTTGATTGTGAGTAGGCGTGATAAAAAAAGAACAGTGCTACAAGTGTGTTGTGTTTACTATACATGCATATCAGATAGAAGAAAAGAGGGAGATCTCTCAAAGGGTTTAATTATCAACTGAAGTAGTACCACATATTGTGACGCTGACCTCAGTAGTCTACTCCCCTGCCCGCTCGTCGGGTTTGAGAACAGTAAGCAGTACCCATCTTTTCTTCTTACTATTTTCAAAGGCATCTCAAGATAAAACAGCTTTATTTTTCCCCACTTCACTGTTTCTTTGAGACTTTGAAGTTAAATCCTTCTTTTCTTTATTTTATATGTAGACAAAAAGGAGGACCCGAAGGCAGACACAATCTAAGTTAAGCAAACAAAAGATGAGCTTTATTTGACTAAGCTGATACTTCAAAAATAAAGTCCAAATGGTGATAAGTAATCCAGATACAATACACAGGGTAAATGATCTAAAGTTGATTGCAGCAAAGTGATGAGCCAAAAAGGGAAGCAGAGGAAGGCACAACGTGCTATAAAAGGAGAGCACAGGTGAAACATGAGCAAAGGGCACTTCTCTGACAAAGATAAGTGGAAGAGCAAGGCAATGAGGAACTGATGAACACAATAAGGGCAGAGCAGATAATTACAAGGGACAAAGAGAGGGAGTAAAACAACAAAAGAACCCCAAGGAAATGTAGTTATCAAAAGAAACCCAAAGTGACAACAGTGGCACAAACATAAAGTCATTAAAGACAGGAAACTGGTAAACACTGGTAAACATAAGAGAGTTATATAAGTGTAGTGATCAAAAACACACATGGTGAGCACTGAGGCCGTGATCCTGCTCTTACAAACTTCCGGTCAGGAGATCATGCAGGGACGAGTCCAGAATAAATGGGACAAGTGATCAATATCAGCCAAAATGTATACAATTTTATTATTTCAGAGAGTTTGCAATCAAATTAGACTATCATAATAAAAGACCACTAATGATCCACAATGTACCACAATTACTGCACATTGCCCGACTAACATTGCGCCTGGCCCAGTTAACATAAAAACAAACCCAAGTAAAAAAGAAGTTTTAAAATACATCAAACTAGGGAGAAAAAAGTGGAGCGACACAACCAGATGTGCAGCCCGTCCTGCAAGACACGAAAACGTGTAAGTAACCTGTCAGTGCACAAATAAAACATTTTTTTCTGCCTAACATTATATTCAAATACAATACCTTCAACAGACTGCTGTGCTTACTGCACTACATGATTAATGCCATGTTAATCATTACTAAAAAAAAAAAACAAAATGCAATAATCATATACATTTTTATGAACTTCAGCAAAAAAGTTACCTTTACAAAAAACATTCAGTCTATAGTTTGAATCTCTACTGAAGGGCAGTATGATCACAATATGTTTAAATAGCAACTAGATCTTCTAGTGGGAAGAAATTTTATACCAACTGACTTCTGCAGCGGTGGTACTTGAATTCAGTGAGCACTTTCTTTTCAGATGCTGCATGCATGATTAGGAGCTTGATTTTACCTGTGAAAATAGGACTGAAAACACCTGAAGTTTAAAATGGACCAATACCTTTGTCCATGTAGTGTAACTTCCAGCCTCAATCACAGCAAGTACTCTTCTTTACACTTCACATATAATAATACTGTGTTGAAGTTCACCCAGTCATCTAGCTTGCTCTCGACATTTATAGCGTGTTGTATTTAAGAGTATTTCAATGGCAATCCAGACAAAAACTGCCATTGAACCCATTTTAAAATGCTCATTGTTTCCAAATCCTGTGAGCCCCCTCATATAAGTCACAGCTTTAGAATGGGCAAAAAAGACAATAGATCCATCATTGCTGTACTGCACTGCAAGTTTTTTATTTTCTGATGATTATTTTCTGATTTAAAGTGTTGCGCTACAGTTTCTCCTTGTATCCCAATAATGTAGAACACTTGACGGATCCAGTAAACCACTGAGCTTTAGCTCTTTAGGTTTTAGGAACTTTTAGAAATTTTGCGACCCCCAAAACATAGTACTTCATAAATGTTAAATACAGTGCTCTCTCATGAGTCGGTTTTAGTCAGGTTAGTCAGACAGATTTATTTTAGTCAGTAACTCTCATGTGTACCCTCTAAGTTTATAAAGTGCCTTTATCTGTGATTGCATTATCAGTAACAAAGTGACAAAGTAATCTCTGGCTGTTTTCAAGACAAACAGATGAGTCTTAATTTTGTCTTCAAGCTAAGTTTATCATTAATGGTTATCATGAACTATACTTTATGTAAGTATAGGCATATATGGAGCTCAAGCGTTAAAGTGGAACTAGTTTAAAAACATTGCGGTAAAAAAGAGAGCGAGGGAATAAACATGGAACCAGTTATTGCATTTGGTCACCATCTGTACTCTGCTGTAACAGTAAGAAAACAGTTGTTTTTACTTTTCTTTTCAGAACATTATGATGTCACAGTGAAGTTAACCTATAAAATGTTATTAGATCCTATTAGTATGATGCAGTGTTTTGTGTGCTTGAATAAAGCACAATGGAAATAACAAAAAATGCTACCAAAGCAAACCAAGAATAAAAGCAAAAGAGCAAAAGTTTTTCTCCCTCAAAACACCGATGCAGTCCTTGGCATGTTTTGGTTTCTGTCACGTTTGGATCTGTTCCATCATATTTTGTTCAATATCTAGTGTGTTTATGTACTTTTGCAGTGCATGGTAGACATTTGTATGAGGTTTATCATAATTTTGCAAGTGAATTATTTGGTTAATGCCAAAAAAGTGCTGTGTAAGCTCACAGTGACCTTGGCCTTTTGCCACTAAGTTTAATCAGATCATTCTTGAGAACTTTGCAGTCTTTAAGTTATGTTTAAGTATTATTTAAGAAATACCACGTTTGCTAGAATTAGACAGACAGATGGATGGACAGATGGGCAATCTGAAAACATTATGTCTTCAGCATTGAGGCATAATAAAAGAGGAAAAAAAGTGAGCAGAAGTAGATAGATTTAGCTTACTCTCTGGATGGTTGCCTTCTATACTTTAAAATCACAAGAACAAAGAAATTATCCTTGTGTGAGTTTTGTGACTGTATGCAATCCAGTATCAGCCTTGTATTCCTTGGTTTTCACTCGTTAAGACAAATAACTTGAAAACTTTAAATGAAAATGAATTGCATTCATACCGCTTTACATTTCCATTTAGCATGCATCGAGATGAAACCCTAAACCTTCCCTTGCTTTGATTCGTATCTACGAATCCTCCTTTAAGAGTTGCAACCTGTTCTCATTACAGGAAGACGAAATATGTAGGAGGTGCAGTAATGCTGGAGAAGGCTGAGGGTGAGAGCGAAGGAGTGGGAGAGAAAGAGAAAAGGGAAATGAAAGGGAGGAGGAGGAGAAAACTGACAGACAGCAAGCTGTCACTTTTGTTCCTCAGAGAGAGGGCTTGGTTTGACATCATTCGAGAGTAAAGCTGCCAAGTTATATGCAAAGAAGTGGCGACAGATGACAGTCTTCTTGTGACTGGTTTGTTATAAAGAAGCAATTGTCAGTATTGAGGACATGTGCTGAAATTACCAGTTGTGCCAATCAAGCTTATATGGTATTTGAGAGTGGAAAGAAATGAAATGCAAGTGATTACAAACAAAATTTGATGACAGACTGTTAAATACATTTGTTCGTCAAGGGGGAAATGTTTGATAAGGAGATTCTGGGGCTTTGGAGATAATGAAAGATACTTCTGATGTTCATGCTGTATCAGTTCTTTATGTTGGAGATGTATTAGAGTAACTTTGGAAAATGACTGGTGGTGTACTTTATCCAGCCACTTCATAATTTGTTTTGAGCAAGTGTTTTTCTCTCTGGCTAGATGAATTAGGTTTGGGTCATTTCGTAGCTCCATCTGTTAAGTTGGACCAAAGTCACATAATTTGTGCACATACTATGCTTCACACACAGGCACGCATTAAGAATAGAGCGGTTCTGAAACAAACACAAACACACACTGAAAAGAAACTGAAAGTAATTGAGTAATCCAAGCACTTAAATCTTTTTCAAAGCAGCCTAAATGATCAAATTTACTTACTATGTAAGAAAAAAGGTGAAATAGAGCAACTTTACTTCTACAGTGGATTTTTGTATCTGCTTATTTATTCTTATTTTTTCCTGGTTAGACATTAGGCAATCAGATTCTAGATTACTTTGCAATCTTTAAGTCATGTTTAAGTATTCTTTAAGAAATAACATGTTTATGAGAGTTGCACAGACGGATGGACAGATGGGCAATATGAAAACATTATGTCTAATTATGCTTTATTATTTATTCCTATTTTATTTTATTTTATTTTTTTTGTTGTTGTTTTTTGGCAGTGAGATTGTTCTTGAGTACTTTGCAATCTTTAAGTCGTGTAAATTGTTTTGGCAATGGCAAACTCAATGTGCTTAACACAGAAGAACATAAAAACCTGTGTAGGTTTACAATGCCAAAGGCAGTGAAAACATGTGCTGAGTGTAGGCCTGTGTTAATAAAAAGGTTTCTAGTCTGTTTTTAATGTATGCACAGATGTAATTGATTTCAGGTCAGCAGGCAGCTTGCTCCGAAGAACAGGACAGCAATAACTGAAAGCGCCTTCATCACGCTTAGATCTAATTATAGGAACCGTTTAAAGATCTGCCCTGATGACTTGAGAGATCTGACTGAACTGTAGATAGTGTTTTTGCATCTTATCTTCCTCTCACAGCAATTTTTCCTTTATTCTTTAGGTGTCAGAGCGCTGTGACTATGTGTATGTCAATGGAAAGGAGACAAGAGGAAAAAACAGGGTGATGCTTAACTTCACCTATAGTTTTCTGAATGCACAACTCGAGATGAGTGTATGGATGCCCCGCCTGCCCTTGCTAATTGATGTGGCTGACCCTGAGCTCAGCCAGATTAAGGGTTGGAAGGTCCCTGTTAGTATGGGCAATAGGAGGTAAGTCATGACTGTCTGTTGTGTCTGTGTTGTTGCACGTTGTAATAAAAAAAACACATCATCACTTCCATCACTTCAGAAACTGACTCCGGTGGGCCGAGGGGGCTTTATCCCACATCTGTATATCACAAGAAAAGTTGGCAACTTAAAAAAATCACAAGAATCAAAAATCGAAATTTCTCTGTGTAGGTCATAAACCTGAGAAGTTCTTAACAATCCCTTTATGACAATCATATTTTTCATTTGGTTAAAAAAATAAAAAAATAAAAATGGAGGCCACGTGAAATTGTCTCAGTAATGATGGTGCAGACATATGAAGCATAATGCAAGTGCATCTGCATAATAAGTGTCTAATAATTCACTGGACTGGTCTACGGGGGAAAAAAAGTACTTATACTGAATAAGGAATGACTAATAATTTTGAGCATTACAGAGCTTGAGCATATTCCTGAGGGTGTAAAGAGATATAGTGTACAATGATCTGTGCAGTGCAGCGTGAGTTGTACAAGATGATCCTAATAAAAAATATTTAAATTAATGATCTTTCTGCTAATATGATTTCTGCTGATTAAAATAGAACTAACCCTTTTCAATATCAAAGATCAGTGAAGCACAGTGACTAATTTACATTTAATAATAGCTTTTATAATTATGATTTACTGTGATCATATTTATAGTGACTATGTTGAAGAAACAATAGAGCACTGTTGTGTTTATAAAGTGAACAAGATTTAGATTGTTCCCTGCGCCCCAGTGTTTACCATCTTTGTCTTTGAGCCAAGATATACATTCATGAATTATACTGTGGAATGAAAGCAGCAGTTACATGAGCTAGCAGATGACATACACGTCATGATTTGTTGCAGTGAGTAATGAGTGATAGAATCAGTCGTCACAGTTAGAGCCCCAGTTTGCTGTGAAACTCAATGTGCTTAACACAGAAGAACTTACCTTACCTATTCTGAAAGCATCAGAATAGGTAAGGTATGTTTTAAAGATTATATGGATATCAGTATTGTCACCTTGGATGGGTCAGCCCAAATCAGTCCTGTGTGGTTTGATATGATGTAGGTCATATGGCATGGCCTTCATAGGCACCAACTCAACCATCAGAACACTCATGGTGTTGGCCCAATTTCTTATGAAGACAGTTTTTTAAGATTTGTTCTTTTTTCAGTAATAGTGACGCTGCTTTCAAAATGGCCATGTTTACTATTTCTGAACTGGAAAACATGTTATGTAGTATGTAATGATGAAATATGTCAAAATAATGTCATTCATTATTGCAGCAGGGGTAGTTATGGTGTATATATCATGTGTACAAACACTTTTTAATTTATATTTATGTTTTCAGTTAAAGAAAGCAGTGTAAATGCTAACTAAGGAGATTATTTCAACTCAGAAATACCTCACATTTCCTCACGTTAGCGTACCACCCACAGGGTGGCACTCTAACACAAATGCCCCCTGCTACCTAAGCAAGATCACATCAAT